TGCAGTCAGCTCAGTGGGGCTTACTCCTTCGTTAGCGTGTTTCATTTTAAAAAGACCAAAATAAAAGCTAGCGCCTGTTTGCACAAGCGCATAACTAAAACCGGAAACACACACACACAAAAAAAAACGGGGGGGAGGGTAGCGTGGTCACGGCGGATTGCTGTCCAGATACCAAAACCGCGGATACAAAGCGCTAAATATCGGAAAACACCTGTCCCAACGGGTGTAAAAAAAACACGGATAAAAGAGCGGAAACCACGGGACTGCCGGCTTCTGTGCGGGAGGCGGGTTTGCCTATGTAGACAGGAACCTTTAATGCGGGAGGGATCTGCAGCGAATCCCGCACTAAACGTCCGTGTGACCAGACCCTTAGAGTGGGAGAAAATCCTCAGAACTGAGAATTTGGCAGCACTGACACAGAGGTGTGTTGTATTCAGGCTTCAAGGGAAAAAAGCCTCATGATGAACGCCAACAAAATTGTATTTGAAGTGAGGGATATTTTTAAAAACCGATCTCAGATGCACAAACACAATAGAACAGGCCTCAGTTTTTAGCACATGGGCTACATCTGTTCACTGTATTCTAGAACACTGTCTTTCATCTGTGAAACGCTGGTGAACACTCTATGGAGACTAGCCATGGAGATTGAAGGGTGGGGAGTGTCTTTTGGTAGGGGGAGGATAATTGGGCATGTTTGCTCAGGATCTGGGGTTGTAGAAGAGCCCGGACTCCCCACTTTACATTTTTCATCAGCTAATGGACTGCAATTGTTGCGTAACTAAGTTTTTTGAATGGTACAAATGTTCTTTTGGACCTGCACTCTCCTCTCCCAAACGGCACGTTTTGTGTGGTTGTGCCCCCCCAAAAGACCCTCACCCTCTGTGTCTGTATCAAGATGTCAAAATCTTGTGTTGTCCGCAGACTTCCTTAATGCAGAAAGATGTGGTCAGGCAGCTCTTCTGTTATGAAAAGAGGATTTGTGGAGAGATCTGAGGGAACTCTTGTCAATGTGGTTCAGGCTTCTGTACCTTGTGATGTAGCAAATGTGGGATCCATGCCTTCCAGCTGATGCAAGCCCTGGGAAACTTTTATCCCAGCGGTGTTAAGGCCGCCAAGGAACAGGCGCTCTGGTGCCATTGTGTTTTCTCTCTCTTGTAAGCTGTTTGAAGTTGTTGAGCAGTTTTGGGAAATGGGGCAGAGTTTCGGCCATTTTCTTATTACATTGGATCTGTTGAAAACCATTCTTTGGATAGTGAGAGAATGTGATGAAGACGCTTTTATTGCAGGGTCTCAGAAATGACAACTACTACTGGTAGCAAATGGTGAACTAATTGATGTATGTCATTTTACAGAGTGCACATGTTAAAAATGTGGGTCCTGTTATTGATAGTAGGTAAAACATGCAAAGGATGGGAAAGAGAGACAAGCTCAATGAAGGATAAATAGGATCAAGTCTAGTTGCACATACTTAAGGCTGCAGTGCAGTCCTACACCCACCCACTTGGGAGTAACCCATCAGTAGAATGGCTGCAAAGATGATGCTCATTGGATTGTGCTACAGGACTTTTGTTATGGCTAGGCATGGAGGTGATATAAAGGAAGTGGGTATTGTTGGAAGGGATTTGGGGGGGAGAAAGGAATTTCAGTTCTGGGACCAGGTTCCGGGAGTAAGAAGTAACAAGAGCAAATGAACGAATTGTTCTAAGATTTTCCTCACAATGGGATTTATAATTTTCAGGCATAGTTTAAAGCACTCCTTTGGTACTAGAAACCTGCACTGTGTAAACATTCACACATACACACACACACCCAAATGGGTTTTAAATGAACATTTTTGCAGGCATTCCTTCAGCTTCAGACATAACATGAAACCATGGTGTATTTAAACTAACTATGTTTAGTGTGGTAGAATGCAGGCCATCCTACTAGCTGTGGTTAGTTAGCATATCTCAAATCAGGATCTAAAGACAGGATCTGAAGTTGATCTATTAATTATGGTTAGTCTGAACTATGGTTTCTCATAATGTCTGAATACAAATATCCTGCCTTGTTCTCTCGATGATGCCTTTCCAGGTAATCCTGAGAAGGCCATGAAACCTGTATTTGTCAAGGCAACCCAGGATTTGATTGACAGTCTGTGACCTGGCATTACTACTCCAGGTTTTTTTGCACACAAGGCGAACCGGCCAGCTCAAAGTCGGTTCCAGAGAGTCCGCCTCTCCCCCCCCCCCATCTGCTAGTGCTGAGAGCTCTCATTCAGGGCACGCTCAAATCAGGGGGGCCTTTCTCTCCCTGGCTCTTCCCCCGCTGCTGTCTTCCCCCTGCCAGGTAGCACCTGGATAATTATTAGCCATTAATTGGGTTCAGGACCTTTGGCAGTGGGGAAAAGAGGCGGGTGACCCGAGGACTCCCCCAAAGAGGCGCCGGGGGCGGGCTGGGTGGAGGCAGGATCCCGATGGTCGGTCTCTCTCTCTGGCAAGCAGAAAAGGCGGCGGGGGGGGGGAGAGATCATCAGGTGGAAAGGACAGAAACTGTAAATTAAGGCCTGATACCTTTCCAAGGGAAAAGTTGTTGTATTGTTTTTTCCCCCTAGTCAGGCTGCTGTATGCCAGGCACTTACTGGAACAACCTGGCTGCAGGGGGTGAGACGGGAGGGGGCTGGGGGCTGGCCCCAGCCCGGAGCTGCCCTGAGCGCCCTGGAGCCTTGCTCGGCTTAGCCCCCGTCACAACAGAGCCAGTGGGCTCAACCAAGAAGTTGCTGTTGTCGACGCCCAAGTGTGCTGGAGAAGGAGTGGGAGTGTGAGCTGCGCCATCGCTGCTGCCGCTAGGTGGGAGAGCTGCAGCCCGGCACAGGCGGCAGCGGCAGGCTACCCTGTTTAGGCGAGGGAGGGGAGGGGCGGCAGGCCAGCGGGGCGCCCCCTCAGTGTTGTTGTGAATGATGATTCGCTCCCGCTGGTTGGCTCAGAGGATGGTGATGGGCGGCAAATCGGCATTGGGCGTATGCAGGGCAGCAATGGGCATGTGCGAGTTGGGGCAGGCGGGAGTGCCCTATCTGGATGGTGGCAACTGGCACATGATGCAGAGCAGCATGGGCGCGCTGGCCTGCGTGACATGTGTTTTGTGAGCACTGAGCAGCAAGACTTTTGGCGGGGAGGAGGGCAGCAAGGCAGTTTGGCACCCTCCCAGGGGCCCACCCTAGGCAAAAGTCTAGTTTGCCTAGTGGGTGAGCCGGCCCTGACCACTGCATAGCCTTCATTCCTGCCCAAGTCCTGTTGAAATGAATGGAGGCTGTCTGGGAGCAGTACCTGGTGAATTGTATCTGCTTCATCTACTTTCCTCCCAACAAAGAATTTTAATAGCTTTGCTGGCAATCAAACCGAGTTTTTGGTTTCTTCCTCATTCCCTAATATTAATTTCCCCAAGGCTTGAGGAAGAAAGGAATGGAAAAGCACTGATCAATCAGTGCTCTCTTATTCCTGGCTCAGTTTAAATCAGAGTTGCCCATTCTCAATGGGGTTCTGAAACTAATATAACTGATGTAAATAATCTTTCTGGAAAGCAATGCAGCTAAGCCAGGTAAAAAAATATCCTCAAAATGTTGCTTATATCAAAATGCAGTCATGTTGACTTTAGTGACCGAAAGCAAGGTGCAGCTAATTTTCAAAGCCTTTGTTGCTCAAAGGCTAGATCAGGGGTGGCCAAACTGCAGCTCCGGAGCCGCATCTTTCACACATCGTTTGGCTCCTGGCAGGATGGCTGGGGAAGTGGTCTTCCCTTCCCCAGGAAGTGTTCCCCTCCCTAGGAAGGCCTGAGGTGGGGGGAGCAGAGGAAATAAGCAACTCTAAATGCATTCTCAAAGCACCTCCCCCACTGGCCAGCTTGGAGAAGGCGTTTGTCTCTTTAAATCTTTCCACCTCTCTCTCCCTCTCCATTTAATTGCTTTCTTCCCCCCTCTCTCTCTTCCTCCCTCCCCCATCTATTTGCTTTCTTTCCACCTCTTTATTTTCACTTTTCTTTCTCTCTCTGACTTCTTTCCTCCCCCTCCCTCCCCCACCTATTTGCTTTCTTTGTTTCTGTTTCTCTTTCTTTCTCTCCTTCCTTTCTACTTCTTTCATTCTTTCCACCTTTCTCTTTCTCTCTCTCTCTCTTCCTTCCTTCCTTCCTTCCCATCTATTTGCTCTTTCTTTCTTTCTTTCTTTCTTTCTTTCTTTCTTTCTTTCTTTCTTTCTTTCTTTCTTTCTTTCTTTCTTTCTCTCTCTCCCCTTCCCCTCCCTCCTCCATGTATTTGTTTTTCCCTCTCTTTCCCCCTTCCTCCCTCCCTCCCCATCTATTTGCTTTCTTTCCACCTTTCTTTCTCTTTTCCTCTTTCTCTCCTTTCCTTTCTTTCACTCTCCCTTCCTTTCCCCTCCCTCCCCCATCTATTTGGTTTCTTTGTTTCCCTTTATCGCTTGTTCATTCTTTCTTTCCACCTCTCTCTCTCTCTCTCTCTCTCTCTCTCTCTCTCTCTCTCTCTGACAAATAAATATAATTGGACAAATAAATATCATTATCAGTATCTGTTTTTACTCCTTTTGTTTTTATTTTTGGCAGTTTCATTTAATGTTAATAAAAAACAAATGTGCGTATTTTTCAATAAAAATGTGTGTGTAATATTTGTTCATGTCATGTCATTTGTTGGCCATGCTCTGTGTACATTTTCTCCATCTCTGCTATGTATATAAACTGTAGAATAGATACATGTCATTTGATGTCACTCCCCCTACCTCAAGAGTCAAATTCTCTAGCCATTGCTCTTAAGAAAATTTTCTCAAGCTTTTTTAGTTGCTTTTAATAGTTATGTATATAAAGAACAAGTATTTCGGATGGTTTCTCGTAAGAGCTAAGTGATAACAGAGTACAAAACCCACACACCAATTATCAAGTACAAAAGCACATGCATTTTTGTTTGTTTGTTTGCAAACCACTTGCTCATCTTTTTTCTTTTTTCTCTTTATCTCCAGTGGGACCTTGTTTGTGATTCTGCCTGGAAAGTCCACATTGCAAAATTCTCCCTACTTGTAGGATTAATCTTTGGCTATCTAATCACAGGATGTATAGCTGATTGGTAAGTGACAAAATATACATAGACTACAGGAGCTAAAATCTGTCTGTCTTAAAACTGCTAATAAATTAACTTCTTGCATGGAAACAGCATTTTCCCCCTCTAGTGATGCTGGTTCTCCTGTAGCTTTCCACTTCAGTGCGTGTGACAGGAAAACAAAATATGTCACGGTTGGCTTTCCATTGATTGCTGTTATTGTGCAAAATGAAGTAGGTAAAAAATTTTTAAAGGTACCTGAGAACACCTGCACTGAAGCTGATTGTCGGCCCCATTTTATTAAGCTGTGCTAAACTCTGCAAGTTCATGTTTTTAAACTCTCCAAATTATGTTGCATGATCCGTGAGCTCATGTTCTTCTAATGAAATGATGATACAGCTGAATTTTTTTTGCTGAATCTACTTCTATGGAGAACAAAATTCAAAGGAGAAGTAAAATTATCATGAGCTTTTCCACATTCAGAAAAATCACCTGAAGCACATGTAAACAATCCCCCCCCTCATTTTTCAGGGGTTAACAAGTAGCTACTTTGGAGGGGGGGGATCTTCCCCTATTTTTCTAGGTCCTGTAGCAAATATTTATTGCTTACATTTTAAGTAGAATGGATGACGAAAAGTGAAAGGACAACTAAATCTCTGATAGGAGCAACCTGTGCCTCTTACTGTTGCTTGGTAACCAGCACAGATCTGAGATTATGGTATATTAAACATGTTAGGCATTTGAGGCTAGATTAGATGTTAAGCCTTTGATCTTATCTAGATAATAGCCCCAGTCCATCACACAGCTGTTATCATGGCTTTCTCACCTGCTCTGCTGTTTGGATTGGGCCACTCCCTCCTCAGCAAGATATTTTGAGAACCAGATAAGGATATGGACTCATAACACAGTCAGCATTGTGAGAGAGATGGATCGTGGGATGTGGTTAAAGGAATACCAGCAGTGTATTCTGTGCAGTTCAAAACAATCCAGTTCAATCCAGTAGACATTTGGTGTCATCCTTTTTCGTGTATAATCTGTGTAAGGAACAAGAGCATGTTAGTGAGTAGAAAGTGATTTATTATTTATATTTACCTTCTCTCATTTCCTCAGACCTAATAATGAAATCACAAAGCCCTTTAGAGACAGAAACAAAAACTGATAAAATTGCTGGACGCTTGTGAGAGTGTAAGGTTAGGGCAAGAGATATTCAATAAAGAGAACTGTTTGCTGATCAGGGAGAACTTCTACTTTAGAAACACAAGTCTAAAACTCTGCTTTGTGTACACCTTACCTCTCTCCCACTCAACATATTTTATCTTTTAATCAAGGAGCTCAGGTTCTGCTTCTGCTTCCATTTTGTCCTCATAAAAGTCCTGTGAGGTAGGTGAGCCTGAGAGATGGTGAATGGCCCAAGATTATCCAATGAAGTAAATGACTGAGAATTTGAACTCAGGTCTCCCTAGTTCTAGTCACCACTACCTCAGCTCTGGCTCTCACAGATTTGCAAACAGCCAAGTAAGCCTCGCTTGTAGATGATCAGTCAAGAAAAATTTAAAGGACCTGGAGATGTTTTCTGTGGGGACAGATGTGCCTTAAAAGGCAACTTTGGACACATGGAAAACTAGATATTTTTGTGGGCTTGTATTTTTTGCGGATATACTTACAAGGGTGCATAAGAATATGGTCCGTGTCTAATTCCTGTTCTTCTTAGTGCTGTTATTCCTTAGGTGTATTCTTGTACATATATATGGTTAATAAGTCTGGGTTAAATCTGACTTCATGGCTCTGAAACAGCTCAGCTAACTTGCACTCATAAGTCCATAGCAGGCAAGGCAATAAGTATTCAAGTCAACCTTATCAAAAGTTCCTCCTTAGATCTCATTACGTAGCTTGGCCCAAGGTTCCTAAGTATTTCTGTGTCTTGTGGGACTGGAAGCCTTGCTTGGATGGGAAGGGACAGAACCTCTTGCCTCAGAGGAAATGTTGGGGCCTAGCTGGTCTTTGTGAAGACCCAAGAACGGGGAAAGGACGCAACAAAAGTATTTCTGAACATTCATTTCTAGCATTGAGCGAGTGAAAAGAGGATCAGTTCTAGCTCAGAAAAAGTTGCGGCCCCTCTGAATGTTATTTGTAGAGAGGAGAGTTGTCAGCTCCCAGGTGCCACCTGCTACAGTTGATCTCTAGACAATCAAAATCAGTTCCCCTGGAGAAGACAGCTGCTTTGGAGGGTGGACTCTATGGCATTATACCTGCTGAGGTCCCTGCCCTCCACAGGTTCCACTCCCCAAATCTCCCAAGTATTTCCCAGTCTACGGCAGGCAACTCTAGTAGAGAGGGGAGAGGTAGGGGCAGAGACTTTGCTGGCCAAGGAAATGTTATTATTGAAAAGGACAATCCACTATGTATCATTGCTGCCCTGTGCCATCCACCCCCTCTCTCCTTGAATGGGGGGGAAGTGTTTTGGCATGATCCCAGCATGGGGGGGGTATTTGTGGTGTGTTTTTGTCAACAAAAACTAAAAAAAAATAATAATTCACAGGGCAATATCCCACTGAGTATGGAATAAAACAGATTTAGTTTTTGTCCCCTTTTCTTTCTCTAGGGTTGGTCGCCGGCCAGTGCTCCTCTTCTCTGTCCTATTCATTTTGATATTTGGACTGTCCGTGGCCCTCTCCGTGAATGTGACAATGTTCAGCACACTCAGGTTTTTTGAAGGGTTTTGCCTGGCTGGAATAATCCTTTCACTGTATGCACTGCGTGAGTATTGCCTTCAGAAATTATTCTAGCTTCGCGTTGCCAAAAAAGCATACACCGTGATCATTTATTGTTGAATATATTTTGGTATGTGAGGCAACCCCCCCCTCCCAATCACTTGCTAATCGTGTATGCATTTTATTGCTCATGTCTCTTGTGTCATATTATTGAAAAAATAATTAGGCTTGTCTGTCCAGGTGACGTGTTGTCTTCTCTCAAACTGAGTCTGAAAAGGAAGTCAGAACGATGAGGGCGTTTGTTCTTGTGGTGTCTTTTTAATTTCTACCTCTAGAATGTCAATTTGGGGCCCTTATGGCCACCATCCAGAGGGCACTGTTGTGTGGAGGGAAGAGGGCATTGAACCCTTTTGTCTACCATTTCCCTGATGCAAATTGCCCCTGACTAGAGCTATTATTTCCCCTGCAGGGGGGAGCATGAACTAGAATTACCAGCTCCCAGGTGGGACCTGGGGTTCTTCTGGAGTTATACCGGATCTCCACATTATAGGGATCAGTTCCTTTGGAAAAAGGTCCACTTTGGATGGTAAACTCTATGACATCATATCCTGGCTGAGCTCCCTCCTTTCCCCAAACTCCATCCCTCCCAGGGCACACCACCACCACCAATCTCAAGGAATTTCCAAAGCCAGAGTTCGCAACCCTAAAGTATACAGAGGCTGGATACCTATATATTTTCCTCTACATGGCAGATTGCATCTGTGGGAGAAGGTGCAGGAATGTAATTTACATCAAGAAAATGGTGCGGGGGGGGGACAATTCCAGTCCAAATTGGGGGCTCCTTTTGGCTGCTGTAGATGCTTTTAAAACATCTCCAGTACTGCATCTGGCATTGCCCAAAACTGTCAATGGCTTGCAAGGTCCATATGCTTTAACATGAAATCATAACAGACGTGATCCCATCCTTGTATAGTTTTACTTTTGCATTATAAACAATCAGGGGTCATTTCGTAGAAAAAGCGGTGCAGGAGCTCATTAGCATAACTCATTAGCATAACTTATTTGCATACGCCACACCCCCTGACATCACCAGAAGTGTGTCAGATGGCAACACCCACCACTCAGGCTCCACTGGACTGTTTTGGATTGCTAGCTATTGGGGGGGGGCGTGCAGATCTGTCCTCGCAGAGGAGGGAGAGCTTGTACCTAAATAAAGCTTGGTCTTAAAGGGGCCATTGGACGGTTTTGGACCGGGGGGGGCCTCCGCAACTTCCCTGGCTGCTTCTTGCTCTGACTGAGGGCTGCTGGGAGCAGGGGGTGGGGCTTGTTGCATGTGTCCGCCCCCTGGGCTCTTTACTGCCAGAGCTCTGCTCCTGTGTGTTCCTGCAGGAAATGACCCCTGTAAACAATAATATTTGACTCAAGAGCAGATTCTTAGTACATTAAGAATTGTTGTGAAATCCAACTGTAGTTTTCTAATTATGATTAAATCAGGTTCCACTGGATCTCAGTAGCTAATTAAAATGTAAGTTTTCAAGAGTAGAAATGTTTAGAAGATACTTCCTGTTGCACAAAGGCTTCTTTGCCCTTGACCTGGAGACTTGTTCCACATTTCAACAAAATAACTGCATTTCTAGCCTGAGCGCTAGAAGCCAGACAGACTGGGTTGAGTACAAGGCAATGAAAAATAACTACTTTGGTATTCTATCCTGCCATGGATTTGGACTGGCAGAAAGTAATGTGGAAATGAAAGGCAATAGAAACGAGTTCACTGGGGTTGGGGGAGACTCCTGAAAAACTTGGGGATTCCCATTCTAGAAGGTTAGTTATTATCCCACTGTATTGTGTGTTTGCGCCCAGGCATCCTCTTGGCTATCAGGAAATAATTTTTTGAAGGAAGGAGGATAGGATGCTCAGGAACACCACTGAAATTCCCATCTCTGTCACTTCATTTTCCTGTCTTGGGGAGAGACTGCAGCTTAGTGGAAGAGCCTCTGCTTTTCACGCAGAAGGTTCCAGGTTCAGTCTTCAGTTAACAAGACCAGGCAGTAGATGATATGAAAGACCTCTGCCTGAGACCCCAGAGAGCCTCTGCCAGTAGGGTTGCCAACTCTGGACTGGGAAATACCTGGAGATTCTGGGTAGGGAGCCTGGGGAGGGTGGGGTTTGGGAAGGGGAGGGGCCCCAGCAGGGTACAATGTCACAGAGTCCACCCTCCAAAGCAGCCATTTTCTCCAGGGGGGACTGATCTCTGTTGCCTGGAAATCAGTTGTAATAGTGGGAGATCTCCACGCCCCACGTGGAAGTTGGCAACCATAGCTGCCAGTCTGAGTAGATGCTGAAATCAATGGACTGATGGTCTGATTCAGTGTAAGGCAGCTTCATGTGTATTCATATGGATGCATACCCAGAGAAGGGTAGACTGTTTAAATGGATGCAAAATATGTTGTGTGAATCAGTTGTAGCAATGCAAAATTCATTTGCCCTTTTAGCAAATCTGCCAATTTATAAGTTACAAATGTATCATAAATACCCAACAAAACCTAAAACAGAAATCTCACGGGTCGCTTAACAGCCTCATTAAACCAGCAACATGAAATCATTTCTAAGCATACTGCTTAATAGATAATAACCACAAATAGTGGGTTGGATCTTCAGTATCTGTTGAACCGCAAATAAGCATTGGCCAGGATCCAAAGAGCTGTGCAACTGATTCTGCTTGCCCGAGGGGTTTGCACTTGTGTTTCTTGAATGGTAGCACATGGCAAGGGATTTTGTGTGTGTGTGTTTTGGAAAGAAGAGTTTCAAAATCTTCACTGAAGTGACATGGGGATTTCAAACATCCCCCTGAGCAAGTTTTAGGCCTTTGGAACCTCTAACGCAGGTCTTTGGAGCCCGACAGTTCTCTGCCCAGTGTTCTACCTTCTGCGATTGCAATTTCGTAGTCTGAAAATATACCTAAGATGAAACTCTCCAGGTTTCAGGATTGCCAAGTTCAGTCAGTTAATGCTCACTTTCAGACTTCTCTTCCAAAGTTCCAGGTCCAGAAAATATTTGGAGAAGTATGCTATCGATGGGTTGGTTTGTATCACTGCGTCTTTAATTCTCTGAAGAGGAGTGCTGTAGCAGCAGTTGGGTTCTTGCTGAGCAGCTCAGACTGAGACATACCATGATGTTGTTGTGGCTCGTAAATCAACATTCATAATCATATGTGTGTGTTTTTATTGGTAGTACACTACAGCAATCCCATGTTTGCCACCAAGGGTCTGGCTGATGGGTTGCCTTAGGCAGCCCAGTTCCCTAATGAGACTGCCCGTGTGATGCATGTCTGGGTTGCGTCCACACTGTACAACTTTAGGGGGAGACAGGGTAAAACACATAGTTGCCCTGAGAAACGTTACAGCTTTGCCATAACTGCCTGAGAAAATATCCTAAAGAAGAGAGTGTGATGCAATGCTTAGAACAGAGGACCCCAATCTTGTTGAGCCTGCAGACACATTTGAATTTTAAGAAAGAGGAGTGGGCACCACCACAAAATGGCTGCCATGGGACACTGAAGCTACGGTTGCCGCCAGTCCCCAGCTCCTGGCGGGGGTTCCCCTGGTTTTGGGGCCTTCTGCCTGCCGCCAGCCATTTGACTGGCAGAGGGAAACCCTGCCCGTCCCCAACGCGATGATGTCATCCAGAAGTGATGTCATCAAGTTGGGTGTGAGCATGGCGATGCTCTGGTTTGAGGGCAACACTCTATGGTTTGAAGCCAGTTTTACCATAGAATTTTTCCCCAAACCAGAGTGTCGCCACACAACATCCCCGATGTGATGATGTCCCTTCCGGGTGATGTCATTGCATCGGGGCATCCTAGGAACACCCTTCAAATCCCCCTGCTAGCATGATGAGGGGACCTGGCAACCCTAACTGAAGCTGTCCATGAAAGTTGGGAGGTTGCAAGCCAAACATCCTGCTATAATGGAGGTAGCTATTTCTTAATGGGTGCTCCCTGCTAAGATGGTGCAATTCATGGTCAATCACTGGGCAGAATGTTTTTAAAAAATTAAAATTCTGAAGCAATCAGCAAAATCAGTTTCTTGTCAAGAACAACAAAGCCTGCCCAAGCATTCCAGTCTTCTCTTTGACACAAATGAACAGGAGGAATTATTACTAAGTGTTTGTGGGATTGGTTTTAAATGTATTGATTGTGAATGCATTGGTGCCAAAATGGGAGGAAATACAAAGTGGGAAGCTACAGGGCTTAGTCTTTCCCCTTCTGTTTCTCTTGTCTCTCGCTAAATTATTGGGAGCTTTTTTGAATGGCCACATTGGAGTCGTTGCTGTTTATGGGAGGAAATACAAAGTGGGAAGCTACAGGGCTTAGTCTTTCCCCTTCTGTTTCTCTTGTCTCTCGCTAAATTATTGGGAGCTTTTTTGAATGGCCACATTGGAGTCGTTGCTGTTTTAGCTTTTGATGTTGATGGCTAGCACAGGAATAGAGAAATGGCACAAATCCTTTAAAAAAAAAATCCCCTGAAAACAGGGTAGCTTTATTAAATTTTGTTACACCTACGTGACTACAAAAAGGAAAAAAAGGGAAAAGGAGAAAAAAGGGAGGGGGGGGAATAACAAACTAAAATAACAAACCCCGGGATACAGACAGTACAAAAGAAAAAGAACCCACACTATGACTAAGAACCCAAGAAAGGAAGGTCATTAACAGTTAGTATACAGTTAGTCATAAAAATTAAAGCTTTCGTTTAAGTCAATGAATTAGGGAGATTAATGAGTCCATTTTAGTAAATGTCTAATTTCTTCTCAGTATGCACAAAGACTTCATCCAGTTCGTTCATAAATCTTTTAGATCATAAGAGCTACTTGGCAACTCTTAGCCGCAAATCATATGCCTCTCTGGCCGTGCCTCCTTCTGCTCCCATTAGGTCTCTGTCCGTCTCGTCCAGGCTGGCTGCTTGGCCTCCACCGTCTTGCTGCTCTTTCTCTTTCGATCCGAAAAACCGCTTCAACATTCTTCCGCTTTGAACACCGAGTCGATTTTTT